CCGCTAGATTCCAGAGCACTTAGATTGGGGACACTCACAAACCTGTTTGTTGATTTATCGTTCTTCTTCTTTTGCTGCATTAAAAATAACAAATGTAAGGAAGCCTTCTTGCACCTGGACAGACGAGGACATTGGCAAACTTAAAAGTTTTATTGATGGCTGGTTTGGAGGTTTTTTTGAAGGAGAGATTGGGACAGACTGGCCCCTTTTTCCAGTTGTAGTTATCCTGTTTGCTTTGACGAGACCTGAACGCCACAGATTTTCACAGAAAAATCAAATTTCTGATCAAGATGATTAAATTATTGTGACTTAGCATAATAATCAATGAGTATGTCATAGGAGGTCTTCCAATATAACATTTTGCTCTATTTAAACACTGGACATTGACAATCTTGTGGAAAACTTCCTCTCAGTCTGCTAAACCTTTCATGTTTACTCAAAACTTTTCTTGATATCTGCAAACCTTTCACAGCAATCAACACCCTCATGGTCAGCAAGCATTACAGCAGTACGGCTGAAGATATAAATATTACTGTACAGGAGTTCAGTTTCTTGAATAAGGAAAAAGCCAGGCTTTGATGCCGTTATAGCTGTCACTTCTGGACACCAGGTGGCACAACTGAACATTTTTCTTTTTGTAATACTCTCTATACTTCTCCTGATAGCATTTCAAGGGACTCAAAATATTGAAGAAATTTATTTTTATATCACTATTCTACATTCCAGAACACATCACACAAAGAAGTCAGTATTCAACCTCTCTATAGATGTTTTAATGTAGAAGGATGTTTCAAATAATTCTATAGCTTTTTTTTTTAAAATGGCTGTGTGACAAGAAACCTTGTGTATTTTCTGACTTCTATCAAATATTCCGCATCCACAATAAAATATTAATATTAAAAGCATCTCATTTCTAAAAATAGGATTTTTTAACATACCCAGAGCAATGAAAAAATACCTCATAAATATAATGAATTATGTATTATTTGAATATATAATAAATAATTTCCTTCAATTACCTACATGCAACCCTAACAAGGCAGCTAGGAGAAGAACCCTTAAGGGTTTATGAACTACACAAATCTGAACGAACGTGAAAGACGAGTGCAATCTCGTGTTGTTTCTATATTACATTTTCCAGCAGAATTCCACTTGAAACAGGAGAGCTGCTCTATTCAAGGGTGGGCACAAGTTCAAATAGAGACAGACAGAGAGTCCTACTGTTTGTTTGCACTTTCTTCTCTGTAGCTCTCTGCTGGCTTTGATTTCAGTGCCCAGCCTCTCTGGGCTGGCAGATGCAAATGCTACTAATTGCAGCCACATTGGTGGATGTGGTTTGTCAAAATATAACTAAAAACCCTCAACAATTTAACCAAATGCTATAATAGAAAAAATTCTTTTCTAGGCATCACAATTAAAGATCATCAGCTACAAAGGATTAAACTAAGATTGTCCCATACACTTCTGCCTTAGTAGCTGAAGAAGCAAGAAATATTATGATGGAAGAAACAGTTTGGTAAAAGTAACCGACTGCACGTAAAATACACTTGCAAGGCAATATACCTTGCAATTAAAACAGTGTGTTAAACAAACTGTAGTTAAATCTGTGTGCTCCACAGGTGGCCCATTTCTGGAAAATATAAGTTATCCACATAAGTGCTTAGAAAAATACTGCAATTCATATAACATTCTCTATAAAAAAAAATCTGTGCTTCTGAAGTGGTCAAATCTGGAAAGAGAAAATTGTGTGTATTGTTTCCATGAAATTCATGCAAAGTATTAAGAAATTTCAGATGTAACAATATAATACTAAACAGATCCATTGCATAAATTAGAGAAGCAGTAATACATACTGCAATGGCTGTAATTTTGCATTAATGTGCAAAGCCTGTAGTAATTCATAAATTCTGTCTTTCCTTTTAAAAAAGGAAAAGAGAATGAGATTTTCAGTTTCTCTGTAATTCATTCTCCAATAACACAGCACATGCTTTGACAAAATAAAGTAACATAGTCCACGACTCATGAAATGAGAGGTCAGAATGTTCTGGCATACAAGACAGTTTTAAAGTCTAAACAGTTTTGAGTGATAGAAGCATATTATAAAAATATATGAATTATCACTACGGAAATCTGATGTTAAAAGTACTTTTGCCAAACACTTCAGATTTCACACAAAACAAGCTTATATACTAGATGGTTACATTTCACATCTTTATGAATGAATGGTTCAGACAAACTTCCAAAATTTTCATAAAACCAAAGCATTCAAATTGTATCTGGATGTCCTGGTATTGTCTCTACTGGGCCCGAACTAAGTTCTTTTATGCAGTTAGGATAAAAATTAGGCATCCACAGATAAGCTTGTGAGATCTGCCGGGCTCCTGAAAATCACAGGAGAATATTGACATTTTGCAGCTGAGCTTGTGCAGAAGTGTGAAATACATTGATCTGATGTGAAACTACAATAAGGCTTGGCTAAATAGCACAGCCTGATCCCAAATAGTGGAGCCAGAACTCCTTTTAAATAATGGGAGCCTGAACCCTGATCACTAAAGCACTCAGGCATCTGAACTGCTCATGTTGTGCCCCTTGGGTTAGCCTCTGTTTCAGAACCTTCCAGAGTTCTTCTGCCTCTACAGCTGGGACAAAATCTATTCCCCTTCCATACAGGTGAAATAACCTATCACAAGGAGGAAGGAAATGTCAGAGGACTCATTCTTATTCCTGAAGTGGTGAAAAGAAACAGAATTAAGGTACCTTACTACAGTCTATTCACGTTCCTCATGACGGAATGCTGCTGGCATTTGAAATGACAGGAAGGCTACTATGCTTACGTGTACAGTAGCCTTCCCTGGCTGCTATTCAGCAGGACGGAGAGAACTGGAAAAGGTGGCTACTGAAGTGCTTTGACTTGTATAGGTGGTGACAACAACTGAGAAGGCTAGAGACTGACTTCTGCCTCCTGCTGCCTCCACTGTCCATACCTGGTTTGTCACTCCACTGCTCCAGTCTTACTCTACACCTTTCCTCATTCAAACTTAGCCTATGTCCTTCTCACACTCTTCCCCTTCCACTTTTTACCCTTATTCCCTTCCTTTTAGTGTCACCTGTCCCTCTGTATTTCTAATGCTCTTCCATCCTGAGCACTTTCTCAAAATTGCTAAGTGCCCTTGCACTTTCCAAAATAGCCAAGAAAAATTATGAAACTAAAAAACAGTTAGGGGTGTCACTGCTTTCTATTGTATGCTACAGTTCTGCCCTCTGTTGCCTTTCTGTCACTTTTCAATTTTGATTTTGCAGTTTTGTGAGAAGGAACTGTGTTTTATGTCACACACGTCAAGCAAACCAGGGCAACAGCATCACTGGATCTCTCAACAACACAAAAGAAACAGACCTACACAGAAATAAGTAGAGACAAATGGAAAACTATGTTTCTTGTTTTGAACATGTCTTTTAAGAGTGATTTATGTACAGATGCAGGCACACACACATACACATATATTTCTTCCTTTTACTGTATCTTAAGTTTAGATGTCTTTTTCTTTACTTTAGCAATGAAGTCCATGGAACATACCTTCACCAATGGATTAATAACACCAACATTAGGGCTTGCATTAAACATTTTGTTGTAGTTAGTCTCCCTGTCAACTAGTTCCAGCTGATAGAACTTTTTGTCCTCCTAAAAAGAACAACAAATAGAAACTTCTTTTTATGCATTTTCAATCAGTTAGTGGCCAAATCTGCCTATAAAATGTTCTCAAATAAATTTATGCTTACATTTTAAAATAAACTGGTAATTCTAAAAACTGCATTTCATGTTTTATATATTATTATATGTCATAATTTAAATAATTTCTATTTCCGTAGTTCTACGATCCTGAAAGTGAGCATAGCCTAATGTGTTATGTGCTAGGAAAGACTCAGTATAGTTAACTTTTGATCTTTAATTAATTTTAATTTCCTCATTCCTTCTTGCTTCTTAATTAAGATCTAATCAGACTAGCCCGAGTTATGGTGCTGTGCTCTGAATTTGGGAAGCTCAGTGGATCAGGATATTGGTCTTAAAAATCTCAGAGAAGAGACTATTTCATATATGGTTTACATGGCCGGCTTATTCCAGGACTGGAGACAGAAGACATCTGATCGAGGACACACCCAAATATTTCTGTAATAATGTATTATGCTTGATTGTGGAAAACACTGTATCTTATTAGCTTTACTATCATGAGTAATTGGAACCACAGGAATAAAGTGTTAAAGAATATGAATAACATGCTAGCAGGATTGGTTCTTTATACACATTTCAAACACCCTGAATTAGATTAATTTTTGTATCTGTCAAGATATTACACCAAGAGAGCATAGAAGTCTTACAATCAATTTCTTTATGAGCTGGTCCCGCTCTGCAATTAGGTCTTTCAGTTCTGAGATAAGCTGCAAGTCTTCTGGTCTTGATTCTCTGTTTTTATATTTTTCTTCCATTTCTTCTAAACTTTATAGAAAAGAAGAATACCCTCTTTAGCCTGATCCAGTGTTAAATGATGAGTGAACAGTCGCATTTTTGATTAGTACAAAAGACAGTTCAAGGAGTAAAACCAGAAGATATCTTTCTTATCATCCTGAAGAAAATTAATTTCTATGTTCTCATTCAGCTTTAGACAGTTAAGAAACAAAACAAAACATAAAACCCCAATAACAATAACTTTTTCTCCAGCAACTAATAATCTGGGCAAAATTCTAAAAACTTAACATCCTTCCTGTGCATGCAGTACTATGTGTTTGAAAAAGGCCTCTTGGAAGTCAGCCTGAAAATAAGGCATTCAAAACCACAATACGGACAGGAGAGTTACAGAAGACATAGCTAAAATCAATTCTTATGTAAAATATAGGGACTACACAGCACTATATTTAATATTAATGTAAATTTAAAAAGGTGGCAATTCACTTTCCTAATGAGGAAAAACAACAGTATATTTTTCTTTTTTTTTTAATTTTAAAAGAAGACTACTCTGATAAAGATGCATGCTTGTGATAATGGAGAAACTGGATAGACAGAAAAAGCTGGCAGCATCTTCCTCAGTTCATGTGGAACATACTGGAACAAAGATATCCAAGAACACTGAAGACTAACAGGTAACTAACTCCTCTCCACAAAAGCAACTTAGTACCATTAGAGATGAAATAAAGGAATGAGCTGCAAAACAAAAGCAATAACACTTGGATATTAGGATATCTAGATTAAGAGAAATGTAACAACTGATAAACATTTGAAAAAAAAGAAGAAATTTGAAATGCCTGGTGGGAAAGCATTAAAGGAGAGAAGTGAAATAAGCCAACTCAGAGGAATTGTAAAAATAACTGCGCAAATATCCTTTTTACTTAAAGAACAAGTTTTGAAGACAGGACAATTTCAAATGACCGTGTCTCTTTTAAACAAATACAATGTTCATGATGCTAAACGTTGTTTCCAAGGAAAATACTAAAATACTTGTCTCACATATTCAGCCTTCATGTAGATTAGAGAGCCAAGTTTCAGAACAGATTCAGGAAATTTAACAAACTTAATGAAAAAAGAAAAAAAATCCCAATCAAACGCTGAGAAAAATCTATGAATTTAAATCATCTAACTCAAGTCAAACTTAGTTCCACAAGACACTTGGAAGTAGACATAATTTCTCACTTTAGATAAATATTTTCTCTTCAAAATCAACTATATGATTTTTACTTTGATTTGCAACTGAAAATGCAGCTAATATTAAATTGTATTGATAACCTTCAAATAACCTGTACATATTCTGATGAGATTATATAATGTATTTACATAAAACAGTATGAATGAGAACAACATGACTGTTTTTACTTGCAGAGAAGGCATTTCACTCAGCAGAACAGAAATAGCCACAGCTGGCTTAATTTTTGTGTATATGTTTTATGCTGGGTTAAGCTATTGTATACAGATCTCCAGAGTATAGCACATAGTTACGCATAGCTGTCATTTAATTTTCAGATACTTCAAAGAACTGGGTTTATTTTTCTATTTCAAATAGATAATTTGTAATTTAAGGACTCTAGTTGCACAGCCTGATTAATGACATCCACTCTCAATTATTTTAAGACAGATTCTCCATTTCACAGAAGTTCTTGAGGCCATGCTTTAGGTGAGGCTGAACCTGGAAACAGTTACTTGAGAAACAGCTACATAAAACTCCTCCTTTTTTTTTTTTTTTTAATTTGTTTGCTTTTTTACATAGTTTCCTCTTTGGACAGCTTCTTGCTTTAGTGTAAGTAGAGAGATAACACACTGGAAGCCAGGTCAGGGCATCTTGGATGATGCTTCTGACTTTAGGCCAGCGGCTGCTTCCTTGCAGTTCTAAGTCGAGCAAGAACCAGGAGTAAGGAGCCAGCCAATTCAGAAAATTTCTGGACACTCCAAAGCAAACAACTAAATGTGAAAAAAACCTAGGGTAAACAGTTCCAAAGCCTAGTTCTGGTGCTCATAGGCCCCTTTCTCATACAAAATAAATGCAGCAAACAGGAAGTAGCTTACACCTAATTTACTGAATGGCAAGTTACCACATTTATCAGGGCAGAACAGTGTGCATGTGGATGATTACAAGGCAGTGAGAACTAGAATTTTATACCCATCTTATGTGAGGACAATTTCTGAGTGCTCATTATCAAGAAAAAATTAGATGCATTTGGGCTTTATTGTTAATTTTTAACTGATATTTACTTTGAAGACTTAGAACCAATTCTTTTCTCTGCCATAAATCCTTTGTGCTGCAAATACAAATCCCTCAGTGACAAATTTGTGGCAGGAAGCCCTCAGTGCAGTATGAAAACTGTGACCAAATTGGTTACACATCACAGAGATACAGAATGATGTGAAAGACAGGAAAACAGTAGCTAGACAACATACTAACATGACTTCTGCCCAGACGTGGTCTAATCTCAGGTGGCATTTTGACTATGAGAAACACTAAGTATTCTCTTTATGTTATGCTCATACAATCCATTTCAGACACTAACTTTCCTTTTCTTAGCAAACCTGAAAATGTTTGCATTATTCATGCTATAATCTCACTTCTCAGTAGCAAATTTTATAAACTGTTTATAAACTTGTAGAAGCTCTTGTGTTCTCAAAAAAGATGTATTGAAGTTTGAGAAAAAATATTTGAACTAATGTTTTCTCCAATTTTCTAGGACTTGCACAGATTTAATATCTTTCCTACCTGAAATTTTTGGTCTCAAACCCCTAACAATTTATCTCACTACATTCCCCTAAAGCTTACAGAATTGTGTTGCCTAAAGAATGCAAGACTGGGCCCCATACTTGATTGAGGTATTTGTACATCTGCACCTCTGCAATATCTTCAGGAACTTATGGATACACTCAAATGCAGCTACATACAAATTTTTTTAATGCAACAAAACTTACGAAATCTGTAAAGCTGAATTAATTTCCTTGAGCAGCTCTTGGGTCTTATTAAAATCTGCCAGCATGCTTTGTTTCTCTCTGATGTGATCTGCTGTCAAGACATCCAGCTCTTTCTCATGTTTCTTGCTTAAATCTTGCTCATGCATCCTGTTTAATTTATTTTTTGTTAAAAAAAGAGTTATTCTAAAATCAGACTTGTTTGTTCATCATGATTTTCTGCCATGCTTCTAATGGCTTTTACACAATATCAGAAAACAAATCAGAAGGAATTACTCATTCATCAAACCCACTACTTACTGTTCTCCAATCTTCTAGCTTATTTCATGGAAAATGCATCTCCTTTAATGCTTTTTTAAATAAACAAACATAATGAATTTGAAAAAAAAAACCACCAAAAACCAACACTTGAGCGAACTGTTACTAAAATATGCCAAAATGTATCACTGAAATGCAGCTTACGTTTATGGTAATATTCACTAAGTTTACTACTAACAGGCATAGCTTTTCCTAAAGAAGACTAAATGATATGTAACATCACTTGATTAAGAAGATAAATTAAGAATTGCAAATGGTAAAATTTCTTAAGTAAAACGATAAGCGAAACAATACACATTTGAGTTTAGAGTGAAGAAATTCATACCTGATCTGTTGGTTGGATTCACTGTGTATTCTAAGAATTTCTTTCCCTTTAAACTCTAATTCCTTTGTCAATGCACTTATATTTTCATGAAGATGCAAAATCTCTTTGTCCAGTTCAGCTATATGATGGTCTCGGTGTCTCAGTTCATCTTGAAGTTCTGATATTCGGCATAAAAATTCTTTCTCCTATAAGAAATATAAATATAAAGTATCTATATTTTTATATATAAACATAAAGCATTTAAATATAAAAAAAAATTTTAGATAGACTTGTGTCTCAGAAGCACAATACTTGCTTCTGTATTGTGAGCTGAGCAGAAGTTTCCATTCAATATACAATTTTTTCAGTTTTAGATGCTGATACAAATTATAATTAAAATGAAGGGGTTCTTTTTTTATTGTGTACAAGTGCAAAGAAAGAAGAAATAAGAGTTATGTAACAAGCAATTTCCATTTGCCAAAAAAGTTAAAACCTGTCATTGTCATTGCCAGTTAAAATTTGTGTAGCTCATCACATTTTCCTTCTGCCCACACACACAACAAAAAAAAACAGGTATTGCTAAGAACCAGGGGCCCAGGCATTTAGCGTTTTCTGCCTTGTCAGCACACACTCCAGAGAAACTTTTTTTCCTTTACAGACCCATTCAATGGGAGAAAATTATTCAAGATGTATGCCCTGCACGAACAAACACTGATTCAGAGGTCTCTTATCTCACAAATATATACAAGGGTCATAAATATTTTGCAGCAGAATATGTACTAAATAGTTTATGTAATATTTATATTGCTTTCAATAATAAAAGTCATTCTTTTTACATAAGAAACTACAATAAAGTTAATATCTGGGAAACGCAGCTGGAGCCCATTCAACTGGCTTTGATAATGCTTCTCATCAGTTAAGAAATATCTGTAATGAAAACAATCTTTTCCAGAGTTTTCTGTTTCCACCTATTCCACTTCTTACAGTTTCAGAATAATTAATAACCATATAGTTTGTACAGAGAGAAAATCAGTAGATATTTCAAAGTAGTTTTAGGTGTAATTGTGTTTTGTGCCTTTCTGTCTCCAGGAAATACAAATATATCCCAATGCACAAATTTTACAGGGCATCTTTAAGAACAGACCATTAAAAATAACTATCTACCTCTCTCTATATAGACTATGTTAAAGTTATAGGAAAAAGCAGTGGAAAAGTTACATCCACATATTTAAATATTTCAAAAAGTAGACTACTCTACATCTATTTCAACTCTGATCCTGTGAACTGATAAGCATTCTAACACAAGAAAACACAATTACTTGCTTTGCCCTCAGTACAACTCAAGCTTGTGCTTAGCAGATCATTATACTGAGTCCAAAAGTACAGGGTATGTGGTTGGATCAAACATTGGCTCTTGTAATTTAAACTCTTTTTTCTGACATCTCCTTTAGATGTCAGACTCTAGGCTTAAACAACACATGACTGAAAATATATCCTCCTAAATCCTTCATGACAGTACTACATTTTTGGCTCTGGTGCTAACACTTTTAAATCAGCAAGGAAGAGATAAAGAAGGGCTCATCTCTGACTGCCTCTGTTTTTCTGTAAAGGCTATGTCCAGCTAAGCCTGCTTACTCTGTTAAATATATTTCTTAAACTACTTCTCCTCCTTGGTGCTGGACTACTAGTAAATCTATCTTGAAAAGCCTATTGTATAGGCAAATAAAGAGGTAGTTTTCTGGTCCTCTTACTTCCAAGAGTCTGGATTCCTCTCAATAGAGATTAAACTTTGAATTTTTAGTTACCAGTGGAAAAACTAATAGTGTATAAAATGAAAATGAAAGATAAAAGTGAATGAATTCATTTCCTACTGAAAGCAAAGGTAGTCCATACTGTCTCTGGGGTTTTGTTCTAGGGGATTTTTTGTCCCTTTATATTTTTAAGAAATAGTTGCAAGATGTTACATCATATTCTGTTTTCTTTATATGTTAATTAATCTTTTCTCATTTGGCTCCTGAGACAGAAAGAGACAGATATCTCTTAAGTTTGAAACAATCATGGTTGGTTATAAGCAACCACTTTTTTTTCCATATCACTTAGACTTCAAAGAGAAACAGCTCTTTTCTTTTAAGTCCTGCTGGCAGTTGAGGATAAGTACAATTTTGCAAGAATGGGCACTTGCATCCCACAGCAAGCCACTGTGCTCCCAGACGGCTGCACATTTCTGAGAGGAAACTGCCTTGATACGGGAGACTTCAGTAGGCTTTGAATGAAGTTTGTAGAAGGAAAAAACGCTAAGCAAGAAAGTTCAGGAAACTGGTAGGAATGCATAAACTGCTGGTGTCAGGTGACTTGGAAGGATTACATGTTTGTCGTTTGTTCACAACAGTTCTTTCCTCCAGCTAAGAGAAAAACAGATACCGCTCATGCCGTCTTACACTCAGTTGCCAGCCATGGCCCTTACCTGTCGCCTGCCAATTTCTATGCTTCTTTCCAGCTCCAGTTTGGCAGCTACCAGTTCCTGTTGATGGTTGTGCCTCAGCTGGTCAATGGCTGCTGCATGTTGATGATTGAGCTCTGAGCGCAAGGAAGCTGGTTACCGGCAACAAACAGAAAAGTTTATTTTGGAAATCTTTACAGTAACAATAACAGTCCAGCTCCCTCTAGTATTGTGGCTGACCTAATACACTCTGTTTACACCAGCTAAGCAATTGTCCTGTCATTCTATTCCTGTTACTTTCTGAAATGTTCTCTCTCCATCAGGAACTTTGGTCACTTACTTCTTCCAAAAAAACTAGATAAGATAGGATAAGGGTGAGATATTTCAAAAGTGAACAGTTTGGACTTACCTGTTAATGCTTATACTGATTTTAAGAGGGACATTTAGGTCAACACTGAATGACTTTCAGATACACTATAGTGTTATAACACACACACATACACACATATAGATGTGCATCTATATTTGCATGAGTAGAAATAAAGTTTTTGAACCCATTTTCAAATTTGAAAATAGTATACCTAACATAGCTTTTCCTTCATCCTCCAGCTCAAATCGTAGAGTCTGAAGTTCCTGTTCCATCTCCAATTTAAAGCCTTCCATGGCTTGTTTATGTGTTTCTTTCAGTGCATGAAGTTCTTCTGAGTGCTTCTGTTGTAAACGTTCTTCTAATTCCTACGAAATCAAAATTGACAGAATTTATTCTATACAAACTTAAAAAAAGTATAAAGTATTACACAATAAACAACTGAAAACAAAAAGCAGGCATTGATTTACTCTAGAAATTTTTAAAAATGCACTAATTTACCTCATATTTTCTTATCCTACTACTACATTTCTTTTTTCAGTGGCTCATGGTTATCAAGATGACCTGGACACAAAAGCCCTGTTCTGCTCACAGCTGGAAAAGATTAAAAAACCAATCTATGGATATATGTATAATAGCAAGCACTGTAGTGAAGTGCAGATCCATAGATGGGGTTAGTGTGCACACAATACACATTTGGAGATTTTGCTCCCTGAGGACACCCACGTTTACTCCCTACTGAATTGTATGAAGCATAATGTTCCTGGTGCACACCTTCTGGTTTGATTTTGAACAAAAGGAATCCACCTTGCGTGCTCCAAGACCAGTCTACAATGTGAACCAAAATACATTAAGGGTGGCTAATGGGAAAACTGACTGCAAAAGTGCACTCTAGATCTGAACTTAAAAAACCTTAAGACATCCCCTCATTAAGTACCATGCACTGCCAACTTTCATTTTTAAAGATGTTTTAGTCAAGGTTTTAAAAAAATATCTTGGGTGAGACACAAAAATTATCTTGCAAGTCGCAGAACATAGCTTATACAATTTCTAACGTAATGAAAATATAAAATACATTGAAAAGGAGTCAATTGACAAAAAATACATGCAAAATTAAGTAACTGTAATAGAAAATTCTTAGAGTATACTATTAAGGGTAACAATGTCAAACTACCATAAAGATAATAATTTTACACATATATATATATATATATACACACACCCACCTATATACATGCCACACCCACCTATATACATGCACATAAAGCAAGACATGAAACAATGCTAATGTCAGAGATGATTTTAAATATGCCTTGCTCAGATTTAACTGGATAACAATATTACTGTAATACATAATCTGAAACAGAAATTTAGTAGTTATGTGGATACTGTTCTTTACTAATTCCAACTGTGTACATAAAATGCTACAATGGCAACATTCTCTATAGAATTTGGAATAACCATATGAACATGCCTTTTGTTCTTGCTCTTTTGTTTCTTCCATGTTTTGAAAGGCAAGGATATGGGCTTCCTGAAGGGACTTATGCCTTTGCTGATGCTCCTCTTCTAATTCCTGGATCTCCTGAGTCAGCCTCTGTCGCTCCTGACTGAACTGGGCTTGTAGCTGTTGTAAAGAGCTCTGTGACTGGGAAAGCTGCATCTCCAGATTCTGCTTCAGTAAGGAGATCTAATCCACAAGAGAACAGCAAATATCTGTTAGTCATTAATACTAAAATCAACTGTAAAGAAAATATTCAAAGAAGACAACACTTGAAATTTTAAAGCCATTGTTAGCTGAAAGACAGACAAGCAATGTCATCCATGTATGAATTTGCTGTTAATATTATATGTCAGAGATATAATAACTACATTTTAATGATTTTGTAAGGATTATCACATTGGTTAGTTTACACTACAGCACTGCCTGTAACACAATTTTTCATGGCCAGATTCTCAAAAATTATTTCTAGGTTTTATATAAAAGATAATAAAAATGACACTATCAAGGTCTGAAATCAACCACTTGATTGTTAAACTATTCTTCAGGGGAACATCCATTCTCCAAGGATAATCTTGTGCTTGGATAGGTGAGGACAGCCTGCGACATCAACATTGATGGATTTTTGTATCCTTTTTCACAGATATATCACAGAATATTCTGAGTTGGAAGGGACCCACAAGGATCATCGAATCCAAGTTTTAGGTTAAGGGCCCATAGGGATATTGGACCCACAACCTTGGTGTTATTAGCACCAGGCTCTAACCAACTGAGCTAATCTCATATATTATGGTCCTATCTTACTGGTAGTTTTCTCATTTAGAAAGAAATGGTATCATAACATTCTATGTCACAAATAAAAAGTAACACTTCTTTGTTAGCTCAGTAAGACTATGAGAGTGATTTTTATGCTTGCTCTCAAGATCTAAGATCTAAGCATTCTGAATCACAAATAACTCATTTTCTTAGAAATACCTGATTTTACAAATGATGTTTTTCATCCAAGTAATATAGAACACTGTATTCCTTCGAAAAATCTAATTTTATCTTTATAATAATATTATACTTTGTTCTGCACATCAGATACCATCTTTTCAGACTGAAAGTACTAAACTTGTATTCCCTTTAGAGCTAAACACAGGAGAGATATTCTCCAATTCTGGAAACAAGATTTAACCAAAAGAGAATTTTGCTACAGTGACTCAAAGGAAGGAAAATAAAATTGCCCTGTGACAAAGAATTTGAATCAGTAAGGATACTTTTCAAGCCTCAGAGCATTACATAATAGGGAATTATAAATTAAAGTCTGATAGTGTCATTTGGTTCAGCATATCGTAAAACTAATTATGACAAATTAATAACGACATTGCACATCAATTTATTGCATTAGAGAACATTAGTACCCACCACTTAACGAAAAATTAATAGCAGCATACCAAGTACAACTTGCAGCATAAACATTATTGTCAAACACATGAGTTTAGTTTTTTTCAGAAGAACACAGCTGAAGCAGATTTGAAACAAAAAAGCTACACAAATAAAAATTAGCAGTAAAACAAGAAGAACAAAAAAGCACTGAGGTGATGTTTTTACAGAATTATATACTGTAGTCCCCAAACCTACTTTCTAGTTGTAACAGGTCAAGGTAAGGCTCATAATTTTACACAAGAAGTTACAATTTGTTTTCCCTTGTGTGTCACTTTGCATTTATCTACACTGAATTTCATCTGCCATTTTATTGCCATGTCCCTTGGCTTTTTACAGCCATTCTATAATTCTTCAGTGCTTTTCCCACCCTGAATAACCTTTTATAAGCTGCAAAGTTTCCCACCTTACTTATCAACAACCTGCAAAAGAAAATATGCCGCACATCTGTTTAACTCCACTGAGAATCTTTGTTCACTGTGGTAACACTCTATTTAATACCTATTTTTCAACTAGATATTTATCTATACAAAACCTTCCTCCCTTCTTTGTATAGCAGAATTTTAGTTTCCTCAGAAGCCCCAGAAGTTCTTGGCTGATCTCTTTCAGCAACTATGGCCAAAGTTGCCAGGCTGGTCAGACAAATCACCACAGACAGTATTTCAAAAAAATAACAACTCACATACTGTATTTTTTTCTCTTTACCCCTAGAAACTTACTCCTCTGATGTGGTGAGTTTGCACCATGCAACTGCCAGCATGGCCAGCTTTGAATTTTCATATACGCATCATCTTCTAGTCATGCAATGTGCTATTGTCTTCCTTCTCCAGGAAAAAATAATCTATATTACCTCAACTTCCATCTACTCTTAATTCATTCCACATTCACAGTTGGGCCCTTCTCTCTTTCCCCACCTTTCTGAGAGTTCACACCTACCTGGGTCCTTCTCTTCATCTGTGAGCCCTGCCTTTATTTCCTGGTTCTCTTCCAGACTACACCTAGCAAAACGCAGACCCTGTCTGGAGGTCTGTTTTTCCCCTGTACTTTTAGACAACTTATGCTTCTTTAGGTTACTTCTGTTCCTATTTAACCACCATCCGTAAACTCTCGGGTTTGTTCGGATTTTTTTTTGTTTGTTTCCCTGAGACCACAACTGCAACTTGGCTCCAGAACCTCTATTCCTTCTCTTTCATCCATCCCATACTCCAGTATCTCTTCCCCTCCTCCTCCCCTCCTTTTCTCATTTTCTTCTTTCTAACTCCATTTTTAGTATCATAGGAATCTGCACTTAGGATAGGCTTAAGAGATTATCCAGTTCAATTTATTGCACTAGGTGGGAAATTTATACACAAATTATGGTTTAAAAATCTCACTGAAGGAAATCCCACAATTTTCACTCACATCCTGTTCTTCCTCCTCCAAGTGCCTTTAGCAGGAACACTGAGACACATTCACTAGAGGAATGCTATGCCCACTCTTACTTGTCCCTTTCACCATGTTTCTCATGTCCCTCAAGTTTCTCACCATTGTCCTGGCCCATTCACCACGGCCACCAGGAAGTACAAGTCTAGGGGAACTCCTGCTCAGTCCTGCAGAACCTCAGGCCATTTAATCACCACACTCTAACAAGCCTTCCATGATAATATTCAAATGGAGTCAACCATGGTAACTTAGCCAAATTTTTAAGATTACATGAAAAAAATGTATTTTTGGCTTGAAGTTAAATCTATCTCTCATTTAAGTTCCTGCTCCAAACTCTGATAATTCTTAGTATACCATGTATAAACATTTTGAGCATGGGCCAAAGGTAAAACAATTTTCTTTTAATTTCCTTCTTGTAAATGCAGAAAATATTTTAATTGAGATGACCAAGAGTAGTCTGACATCTGGCCAGGAAGCCATCTTAGAAGAGACCAGGAATACGCAAGAGCAGTTCATGCTTCCACCAGATTAAAGTGACTGCAAAACCACAACCTGAAATGAGTCAATGTCTGGAGATGTCCTATTTGCATCAATAGACTACACAGAAAATAAAGGACAATGAGGATTAAATGATTCTAACAAGCAAGTCAGATAAGTCTACCCATCTAATAATTTCTTTTGTTGTTCAAAAGTAAAAAAAAAGTTAAAAATCTGAGTCTTTTTAGAAGACCATATAATTTTCAACATTAGTTTGATTATTCAGTACATATACATATCCTTAAGAGAAAATTTTTGAGAACATTAGTGCCTTCCTTTGCATGTCTTTGTACCACTCCTTCTATACACCTCTGTACTGAGGATTCAAAAGAAAACAGCTCTCACCGCTACTCTCTGAACTTCCAATACTTTTACCCACGGTTTTCAGTGCACTAAAAACAATAGTGAGAATTTTAAAAATAAAATCGAAAGAAAGAATATTTTGGCTACAATTAAGACTTGCACTGCAAAACTGCAAATTATAATACAGCCTCAGTCTCATGCTTTGTAGAAAGCTCTTGCAATACACGTTTGCGCTGCCCACAAGCTTGCTTGCGTTAACAATGACATAAAAATGCTGCTTATGTTATGAGCACGTACACAGTGTCTGATGCCCAATGATACATATACAGTCACACAGATGAATGGATGCAGTACACAAGCTTTTCGTAACTAGTGGCACACGTTCTCCTCTCAAATATTACCATGTTTCCCATTTCATGGGCTAAAGCTCCAAAGCAGTATTACAGGATAGGCAGGTTGATTAGTGCAAGCATGCCCTGTTCACAAGCTGTAAGTGCAAATCACTTACATTGCTGATAGATTTATGCAAAGCTTCACCGAGACAGTGCCGCTATGAAGAAAAGATCACAGGAATAAAGGGAAACATTCAGAAATCAACTAAGTAAAAGAAAAAGGGATAAGGCAGGAAGGGTAAACATAGAACATTAATTATAATTTGATCAGAGAAAAATAAGTTGAAAACCATCTGGAAAAAAAAATGAATACATTGCTTTGACTCAGTAGATAAGCTACTGAACACAGAACAGAATGATGTGGTTTCCCATGTTATGTTTTGGACACACAGAATAGCATTATCTCTTTCACATAATGTTACTAAATAGTCACATACTACACAGCTGAACACTTGAAGTTATCCACTTGTTTTCTCTTCTCCTTTATGGTAAATAATTTTGGCAGAAATCATTAAGTATATCAATTTGCATTCCTATTAGAAAAATTAGGGCGCAATCAACAATCAGCTGTGCCTCCCAAATATCACAAGCATATCAAACACATCATATTAAAGAACAAATTTCACTGCTAAAGAGCAGAAAATTAGTCAGCAATGAAGACATTTCTATTAAAGTACTTTTATTTTTCTTGAAATTCAGAATGAGATGGGTACATAAAAGACTCTTCTTGCAAGTCTCCAGCAATAAAATGACTTAATGTACCACTTATACTAGTGTTGATTACTAATAAAAAGCAAAAAAAACCCCAACATATTGCCAAGTACATGCTCTATGAAATATTATTGATCATACAAATAACATACATCATTTCACCGTCCCTGGAGGTTTTTAAGATGAGACTGGATGTGGCACTTAGTCTAGTAACCACGGCAGTGTTGGATCAAGGGTTGGACTTGATGATCTCGGAGGTGTTTTCCAACCTGGTTGATTCTATGATTCATTTATATTTTTATATATATATACATATATTTGCCTGTGTGTTTTTATATATTAATCACGTGGATAAGCAAACACACATGCATAAAACAGTCATCAGAAATTAAGTGAGAGCAATTTCAAAGCCAGCATGACCACTTTCCCCTTTTGGCATAGGTCAGTCAAGAACATGGCTTTCTCCAGGAGACAGCAGGTATTTTGATACCAGCCTAGAAGCATACAGGTGGGAACTATTATCTAATACTTTGTCAAAATACAAAAAGAAATTGTTATTCATCCTCATGAATCTACAAAAAGGCACAACACAAAAATACATTATTGTGAAATATCCAAAATGAGCTCATTAAAATAGTAAGAGAGTTATAAG